TGTGATTCTGGCCACTTCTTCGTGACTGCTCTAAGCTAGGCAAAGCAACATCCTCCCCCAACATCCTCTACTTCATCTTCTCCATCCCCACAAATTTCATCATCAACTACCCCGTCCTCCTTTATTATTACTCTACCCCAATACCTTGCCCGCTGTTGCCGTGGGAAGGCTTAGGAGATGGAGACTGAGACCCAGTGCTAGGGATCACCCCTACCTTGGGCCTCAGCCGTCGACTCAACTAATTTTGCACGGTCTTCTCTTCCCCTCTTCTTTCCTTCTCTTCTCCAACCCCTTCTACTATCCACTTCCTAATGTGTAAGAGCCGTGTTGAAAGGATGAAAGGCTGACTTTGTGCCAATCATGAACGGCCTAGAGGAGCCATGGACATAGTATTCCCCTGTTTAGGTCTAGCCCTTACCCTGAGAGGTGGACCATTTCTTTCCCCAACACACTCCAAGTTTATCATGGCCCGTAATGACGATTTTGTACCCTTACTATGAGCAATGAGGTTAGCCCTGTTTCAACTAGTCCCACTGATTTTAATTCCCCCGATTCCCTGACCCCAGGGTCTCCTTTGAACACGACTCTGAACACTACAACTTCCCCCTCCTCAACACCTACTATAACATCAGTGCAGTCCACCCAGGTCATTACTCAATCTCCAGGAAACATTCCTCTTCTCCCAACATCATGTACTCCATCTACTACCCCCTCTTCCCTTATTACTACTCTGTAGCCTTATGATCCATCTCTCCACATTACTACTTCATTCAACTCCATTCCCTCTTCCACAAGGTCCCGTCTTTGTACTACCCCCACCTCTACTAACCTTTTGAGTACTCTGTTTAGTCCAGCCAAATGGGATCGATTTTTTTTAGATCCCCTCTGCAGCCCCTTACTCTGATAACAGTCTCCTCTTATAAAAAACAAGTTGGCAGTTTAATTCCGCAGATCGTTCCAACCTTGTCACAGTTACATCCGAATCCTAAGCTAAAGCACAATCAACCCTGACTGAGTTCACAGGCAAACTCATTCCTGCCCAACCTCATCTCTCCTTCGGATAGAAAACGGAAGCATAACAACAGTGTCTGTGATTTAGCCCGAGTGGTTTATCGCCAGTAGCAAAAACCGCAGGATTCCCTCAAACACGGTGAGACACAGTCAAGTATTCGAAGACACTTTGATTAAATTGATAAATAAAAAAAGATGTGAACGTAGTCCAATAATAGAAAGAGGAAAGGTTGGATAGCTTGCCCTCCTTGGCCGGTTATTCGGCATCCCCTGTGGTAGTTTGGGTAACAGCGCTACCAACATTATGCACTGCAATTACGGAAAGTTTTCTGTTCAACGAAATTACACCGAGGACGGGAATTCTAAGGGGGACAAAATAATATAAGGCTTCCCTGTGACGAGAAGGCTACATACTGAATACCCTTTTGTTGTAACGTAATGAAAACAATTACTTTACAGTTATGTAAAAACAA